GGGGGTGGGGGTGGGGGTGGGAGTGGACTGGGCCCAGGCTGCACTGGAGCAGGCAGCAGCTGCACTAGGAGGGGTAGCTATGGAATGGGCTACAGCCACCTTGCCTTTCTCTGTAGCGCCAGCACCACTACTGCCCACCGCAAGCACTGGGCTCTTCCCCATGGAGCCCAACGCAGCCCTTAGCCTCAGGTGCGTAGTGGCAGCCCACCTTCACCCTGCACACAGATCTGGGAGGCACCCACCCATGCCCCCTGGATGAGCCATGGCTCTGTCCCACACCCTGCTCCACCCCTATCCCAGCCCCTCTATCTCCCTCACCATGAGGGCCTCAGTCTGCCCCCACCCCTCTCCTCCCCCCGTTCCCGCCCCAACAAACGTACTGGCTGAATGCTGCTGTCAGGCTGCACTCCTGGCCCTGTGCATTAGGGCTGTGCGAAACTTCAGTTGCCGATTTGATTTGGAGAAGATTCAGCCCAATTCAGCAACCAAATCTCTGAATCCAAATCGAATCAGGAGACCTATTAAAAGGTCTGAATCAAATCCAAAGCCTCCGAATTGATTCCGATAGACCAGGGAGAGGCAGGCACAGCTGGGTGGCTACAGGTTCTCCTGTGGCTCCTCTGACTGTGCCTTCCTCTCCCTGGGTGGGGGGAGCTGTGGGAGAAGCCCCCACGGCTGTTTTCCCTGGCCCCATTCCCCTATGCACTTGCTGGCTGCAGGAGCAGTGATTGGAGCCTCTTGAGGGCTTGTGGCAGAGCCCTCCTGCGCAACGGGGGGCAGCAGGAATCGTGCCCCCCCCACACAGTGGCAACTCCCCCATGGTGTGTGTGCAGCGTTGTGTGCTGTCTGGGAGCTGGGGCTGATCACTGCTGGGCTCCAGCTGACTGTTGAAGCTGCCCTAGCTCCCAGACTGTGTGGCATCCTGCTGAACCACGCTGCTCCCATGCAATGCGACAGCTGCCGTGCAGGTGCCAGGTGTGGGGAGTGATCCCCACGCTACACAGGGGGCTCTGCCACAAGCCTTTAGAGGCCCTGATTGCAGCTGCTACAGCTGGTGAGTGTGGGGTGTTTAAAAAAAAAAAAAAAGTGCCAGGGGTCTCAGCCAGGCGGGGGTATGGCTGGGCAGGGCAGCTATGGTGGCTTCTCCCATGGCTCCCCCTGCCCAGGGAGAGGCAGGCACAGCTGGAAGAGCTGTGAGAGGACTTGCGGCCACCCAGCTCTGCTTGCCTCTCCCCAGCCGATCTGAATCAGCGCTGAATCTCCAATTCTGGTTTGACCGAATTGAATGGGGACAGTGATATGAATCACTGAATTGAATCATTGTCCTCTGAATCAGCCAAATCCGAATCAAATACCTTCTTACTCACACAGACCTAGTGTGCATGCTGCAGCTGTGCACATAACATTTATCAGTGACATTATCAGCCACATCAGCCAAAAAAGGCTGATTGCATTTAATGTCAATTTTCCTTTTATCGGTGCCAATACCATATGGACTGATATATTGGTGTACCTCTAATATATATCTTATTCACAAATATTCATTTGTGTTTTTCACCATAGTATCTGAGAACCTTATGATACTTTTGAGATGATTTTTGATTAAAGATATGAAGCGCCAGTTAAGATTTGCATATCTTGCTTTTTTATTGATGAAAGCATTTCCCAAAAACACTTTCTCAAATATAAAAATTATCCATATGTATCCTGTGTTTGTTTTAATATGTACCAGAAGGTGAGCCAGGAATTTCTGTCATCAAAAGACTGATTCTTTTTTTTAAAGAGGGTCTGTTGGATCACAGATTTAAAAGTTGAGGAGGATGGGAATGTTTTTTTTTCTCTCAGCCAACTGACACATGAATATAATCTGAAATTCTCAAGTTAATATGGGAGAGAGGTAAACATGGTGAGAAATGGTGTCCAAGGTATCTTGGCTATTAATCCTAGAGACTTTTTTGGAGTTCATTTGCATCTTTATACTGGCAGGAATCAATTGAACAATAGCACTTATCTTGTATCTCTTTGATTTATTTATTTATTTTTTCCCATTCCATGCCTCTTTCAGAAATGGCACAGGAAGACATGGAAGTAGATCTCCAGCCAGCAGTAGAGGAATTTCCTGTACAGGGTTCTGGTCATTCTCTGCTGTCATTGTCAGCTAATACTCCAGTGCCTGGTGAAGAAACAGAAGGCATTGCAGCTCCTCCTTCTAGTCCAGAAGAAACAGATGATGAGTCTGACCCACAGTTGAATGGTGCATCTGCTGTAGATAGGCTGCAAAGGCTACGTGGGGTATTAGAGTTTTTTCAACTGCAGGCTACACAGCCGGTCACACAACAAGAACAACACTTTCCTCTCCTGGTGTCACCAACAAGAAGAACTCGTCGCCAGCAGCAAAGAGTTGGTGGGTCCCAGAGGACAGGCAATGTCAGGTATAGTTGAAATAGAATTTCTCCAAATCTGTGATCTGCCATGTTTGTTGTATTATGTTGCTCTGTGGAAAGTCCTTTTCAGTCCAGCTTCATGAGTGAGGTCAAACTCCATGTATCCTACCCATCTTACAACTGAGTAGATGGTACCAAGTTTCTTCTCATCTGCTATTTAGACTCATGGAAATCAAAGTTTTTGGCAACACCTTTTATTCATTACTTAGATATTATGGTGGTACACACTTCCAGATTAACTGCTTTAGAGAATCTGGTCCTATGCATACTATGTCTGTAGACAGTGTCCTTATCAGCCACTGGGAAAATTTCTGGGCATAGTTGTAGGTAATGCCCTCCACAAGGCCTTTCCTGCAAGAAGTAGTTATAATGAGGACTGCCACTGGAAGTCTGGTTATATGTTTCAGCCCCATAAGAAGGGAGGTTCATGCAAATAATGAACCATGTGCAAAAATTTGCTCCTCGCTCTCAGTGCTATTTATGCAGTTTTCCTGATGACTGACTAGGTAATGTGAAATTAACAAACCATAGAGGAAGCAAGGGTTAACTTCCCCACTGCTTCCTCTCTCCTGAAGTCACACAATGAAGCTCCCTCTTGTTTGTTTTCCTTCTGGCTCTTTCATTCCTGGCTGACCACAATACAACTTAAACAGGAAGGGGCTTTCAGACCTGTCTTATCTGTTTCATGGTGGTTAGGTGGTATCCCTGTGAATTGGGAAGTCAGAGGTCAAATCCCTTCAGAAGCTGAGCATAGAACCTGGGTTCTCCAGGCCTTCTCTCCCTTGGATAAGAGCTATAACCTGCCAGGCTAGTAGGTAAGAGAAATGGGACATACATGTCAAGTAGTTGCTAATCATTGTTTCAGATTTTAGAATCAACCCCCAAAATTGTGGGCAGAGTGCATCCAGAGTGTAATTGAATTGTGGTGGAGTATGAATGGACTTAGGCGCCTCCTGCACAGCATTACGTGTACTCAGAAATGATTCGGGAGACTCAGACTTCATTGTGTCCAGCAGAATGCAGCTTTATAAGGCATTTGGGCACATGCATGCAATTCAGATCAGTATGTAAGGTAACATTTTATTTCCCTAAAATGCACAAGTAACACACAATTCTTAGGATAGTATTGGGTAATTTAGGTGCCTAACTCCTGTGCTTGCTTATATTAATATGAAAGAATACTGTGATTTTTTTTTTTTTTCCCTTCTTCTTGTTTTTCAGGCCTGGGGCACGATTAGATAGATATTTTAGTTTTAGCAGGACCCAAGGGGCAGTAACAGTAGCATCTCCACTGCTGGAGTCTTTGCGTCTCCCAGTGAACAACACAGATCACAGCTCTGATGAAACCGTGGAGTTGAGTGACTCTGACAGCAGCAGCTCTTCAGAGGTGGGTACAGCAGCAGCAGCAGCCCAGGAGGAAGCACCTGCAGCAGATGGCTTGAGAGGTTTGTGTTGCTTAGGGTTCAGCATGATGCAAAAAGTGGCAGGCATTTCTCACACTACATTTCCGAAGTTGACCATGGCAGCATTTTGTAGACAGTTTTTTTTCAGGATTTAGAATAGAGCTGTGCATGGTTCTAGGATCAGTCTTCTCTCATCTGGTGACAGTTGTCATCATGCACGCTGGCGAATAATTTTCCAATGCACTGCATGTGACTGCTTTTTACAATTTAACTGATGTGTCTTGGAATTCTTCAAAGTATTCTGTTTCCTATTTCATGTCCTCCCCCTGATCTCTGTTACTGACCATTATCCTAAAAACAGGAAGCCAGGTCCTCAAGTATTGTATCTTGATACAACTTCTGTTTAGTTTACAGAAGCTAAGCCAATTTACAGTGTAAAATCTGGCGCAGGTTTTTGTATGTCTTAAGCATTCACTAACTTTGGTTGATTATTCTTTGATTTATGTAGCTTTCCTTCACATTTTCCTGAGCAGAAGATATTAGTGCACTTGGATCAGTATTTCTCAACCTTTTCTAGCTACTTAGTTGCAGTAAAAAACAAAACTGAAAAAACCCTTCACTCTTATAATTCAAGTAGGAATAAAAAGTGCATCTATGAGGAACAATTTAAAGTTTACATAATTTGCTGGGGAAAAATAAAATGTTTGTTCTTGAGGAAGAAGTTGCAGGAAATAGGGGAATGAGGGTTTTTTTCCTCCTGTCTGTAAGCATACGAGCATATGTGGAGACACGAAATTGTTTACAAAATATGTTGTTTGTGGGATACAGCAATGGCTACCATTTAAGGAGTACATCTATGTCATTGTATATGCTGAAATTCTGCTTCTTTATATAACTAGAAAAAGATTTCTTCAGCAGTTACCTTGGGGAAGGAAGACACTTAGAAAAGACAGCGGAGCAAAAAGTTGTCTCCTGGGTGCTATTTACAAGATACATCCCATGTTAACCCACTCCTTGCTCTCCTAGCACAGAGGAGGATGCAATCATTTCTCCAACAGGAATTTTGTAGTTCCCCTTTTCCCTTTGATTTTCTTTATTTATTTTGTTCCCTATCTGTTACCTTGTTTCCAGAATGAACACCTGGGTCAGTGGTTTGTTACAAAATTGCTCTGATTTTTCCCCCTACTTTTTGCTTAAAGTAAATGATGCAATTCATCCTTCTAGTTTTGTTGAATTAAGCTTTTGCTTGTAATTGGCATCAGTTACTGAACTGTTTATTTGGGTGTCCTAAAATATTACAGCTGCAGAAGGGAAATAGTAGGTTAGAACTGAAGTAATGGGATCCCCTGTAATAGTTTGAATCTGTTCTTCCTTTGTCCTGTCCCCTCTGTAGCTTCTGATCAAGTGCAAACAGAGGCCCCTGGAGCTTTGTATTCTGCAGAGCATGAAAATCATAATGGTGAGGGTGCCACAGTCCAACAGAAACAGGTAAAATGAACCAGCTATCTCTGGCTACCTTTACGATCTGTGCAGTCTTGTATTCATTTGGTGTTAGAATTTATTTTCATTTTGTATTTATTTTAGACAAGTCCACTAAAGAAACCTGATACAACAGTTCCCACTGCACCCTTGGATGATGAAGAGGGAGATATCTGCACCATCTGCTTTGAGCAGTGGAGCAATGCTGGGGAGCACAGGCTCTCTGCACTCCGATGTGGACACCTCTTTGGGTATACTTGCATTGAAAGGTGGCTCAAGGGTCAGGCAGGGAAGTGCCCCCAGGTAATGTATACTTATGTGTATTTAAAAAGACTTGCTGTCAAGTAATGTGTGCCCTCATTCTGACCACTATTGATAGAAAACATTCAGAGAGGAACAACTTTTGGGTTTTTTAAGTCTATATTAACAAAAATAAGCCAAAGAAATTTAAGTTTTTTTTTCTTGTAATTTTACCAAGATTAGTTTATAATGTCCTGAAAGGAACTTTAAATGTTTGCTCCATCTCAACATATTCTGAGTGAAATTTGAGGTCGATACTCGTTCTTGATATAGATGGCTAGATAGATAGTAGGAGTGCACTGATAAAGATTTTTTGGGCCAATACTGATGGCCAAGTATTAACAAGCCATATCAGCCAATACCGATCCGATTGTCAATATGCAGCCCAGCAGCTTGCAGAGCAGCGTCCAGCTGGTAAGTCTGTTGAGGGGGAAAAGGACATGGGGGGGCAGATTGAGGACCTCATGGTGAGGGAGGAGCAGGGCTGAGGCTGGGGCAGGGTGTGGGACAGAGCCGTGAGCAGTTTGTCCAGGGGGTGCAAGGAGTGGGAAGCAGCTTCCACTGGTGTGCGCACCCCTGGGGGAGGCATGGGGGGAGTGTGCCCCCTGGATCTGTGTATGGGGTGAAGGCAGGCTGGAGCCAGGGCGGTGCCTGACTTCTCAGCAGGGGGATTGGTTTGGGGCCGCGCTTGGGCCAGGTGGTGACTGTGCTGGGAAGGGGGCTCTGTAGCACCCCCTCCCAGTGCTGCCACTGTCCGGCCCAAACACAGCCCTGGCCCAGCCACCCTGCTTGGAAGAACCCGATGTCAGCCCAGTGCCCGCAGTGGCAGCCTGCTCTTGCCCCACACAGATCTGGGGGGCATATACCCCCCCCATTCCTCCCCTGGGGTGCATGTAGCAGTGGGAACCGCTGACCCGCCTCTTCACACCCCATGGACGAGCTGCTCTGTTCTGTACCCAGGGCCACCCCAGCTGGGCAGCACCCATCCCTTCCCCCTCAACAGATTTACCAGCTAGACACAGCTCTTCCCAGCTGCCAGTCTGGCTGTATGCATGCCGCAGCTGTGTGCATGTCTGCAGCATTTATTGGCGACGTTATCAGCCACACCAGCCAAAAAAAGCTGATTCCCAGTAATGTCAATTTTCCTATTATCGGTGCTGATACGATATGGACTGATGAATCTGTGAACCTCTGATAAATAAATAGATGGGACAAAAGACTGAGTGGCAAAGTCCTATTACAAAACTTGGTTTGAGGACACTATTGTGCGTTTTTGGAAGTGGCAGGCAAGACTATTTTTTCTTCAGAATAAATGTCTCTGTAGAAGTCAGGTAAGCTGTCACAGTTGAAAATAAAACTTCCTTTGGAGTTTTCTAAATTAATGGCTAAAAACCTGGTGTCCTGGTCCGGTGTGTAAATTAGCTTCTAATAACCACAGCTGCATTGGAGCTACTGCTAAGTGCTAGGTAGCCAGTTTTTTTGCTGTCATCTGCCACTGTTAGAGTGAAAAACGCTAAGGAAACTTAGAGTGAAGTGGTGCCAGATTAGGTTAAGAAACCCAGTAATCTGAGCCTGTTTCCTTCGAAAGGAGTCTCATTACTTGTCATCAGGTATGAGGCTGCTTTTAAACCACATAGAAATTAAAGTAGCAACAGTATTATCATGAACACGCTTATCTAGTGATTAACTTTTCTTAAACCCACAGTTAAGGAATTCAGCTTATACTCTCTATGCAGCCTTTAAATCATGTAGTTTTATACTTTCCAACCAAACTTAATGTGCAGAAATCCAAATAAAATATTCTAAGGTTTACCAGAAATGGATCTATCAAATAAGAAATGAACTTTATTAATGTATGTTAGATTTTGTCTGTTTCTGGTTAGCAAGATGGCTGTTAGTTTGGTTGGGTAAGTGAAGTATTATGGTAGTGAGAAGTAGTTTGAAGCCTTAATGGTTTATTTCTAGGTATCCAAACATCTCTGGGTTGTTTCTCGTTTTGATTTTGTTTTTTTTGCAGGTGAGGAGTATTTTAAGTTGTAGCTAATCCTGTTTTTTTGGGGGGGTTTTAAAGTTGAGAATAGAACTATGTTTCAGTGGAGTATAGCCAATAGTCGAAAGCAATATATGCTTTGGAAAAAAAATAACCTTTACAAATAAGAAATTGTGTCCAGCTTTAAGAGGTAAGGAGTCAGCCGTCGGTCTATAGCCTTGTACCTGAAAACCCAGCATTTCAGTGGCTTTGTTGTAGGTTTTTGCCTGTCTAGCTTGCTATTTAGGGAGAATCTTGCTAAAAGTCTGTCATACGTTATAATTTAACATAAAGGATTGTGGTTTAGGTGGCAGAAAGCTAATAGCTGTTGTGCTGTGTTATCTTTTTTAAAAATTACGAAGACTCGATGGAACAATTGTCAGGGAGCCATTCTTAATACTTGGATCTCCCCTTATTAAGCTTTGATTTTTATTTTTATTTTCACTCTTGCAATTAGTTCTTCTCTTTTGAAAGTTAGGAGGGAGGCAATGTATTCTAGCAAATACCATAGTTAACGTCCAAGGGACCCATTACATTTTCCTGCTTACTATACAGGTTTGTAGTGAACTCTGAGGGCTAACAGGCAAAACTGTAAGGACTTTCCAGGCTGGGGTTGATTCAGGGTGGGTGCAAGGGTGTGGTTGCACCACGCTTTTGATTTTTGCTCCATCCAAATTTAAAAAAAAACCGTCTGGGAAGGGCAGCAGCCTTTCTAGTCAGGTAGTGCTGATGGAGTCAATTGACTTTGTGCCTTATTATCATACCTGATTCCTGCTAATGTCTCTCCATTCCACAGAGGTTAAAGACCCTCTCTCCTTTTTAATAGTCTCTATGTTCCACCATTTAAATTATTATTTTTTCTGCAATTTTGCTGTCTGTTAGCTATTCCTGGTAATGTATCCGTTGGATTTCAAAACCCTGCAGACTTGTTTTTAGCTCCAGCTAAAAAACTTTAATTCAGGTATGGTCATATTAACTCAGATGTAAAAATGGCTGCCAAGTATTGGAACTGAAGAAGGCTAGATTTTGTTTTGTGAATCTGAGTAAGATTCACATTTATAGTGACACTACTTCTTTTTACTATTTTGCCTAATTTGCTGGGGGGCGGGTTCTAAGTGGTATTTATCTAGCAAGCTATTACTCATTTCAGTAGTTAAAATATTTGCTTTTACTTTGATCTTAAACTGACTAATATAGTGCTAGCTCCCTAGAATATTAGTAAAGCTTCTAGTTTCTATTTAACTGGAGAAAAGTATATGTTGTGTTATGTGATGTCATACTTTCTGAACCCCCTTTTTAAAATCCTGGATCTGTCCATGCTCCCAGAAATTGCTTTGTGAATTCTTTCCAATGATGTAGTGGTCTAAGAAATACCTATGGACTTGTAATGATAAAGAGAAGATAGACAAGTTCTATTTCCAGTTGTTTGTTGTGCACATATTTGTATTTTGTATTCCTTAAGTTGCATACAACTACATATAAAGATGGGTTGTATAAAAGTTACTGTGAAATTGCAGGTTCTGGGGTGTTACTAATGATAGCCATTAAATACGAGGACCATTTTAATACTGAAAACTTTGCTCCCATATCTAGCAAGGTTACATGTGTAGTGACCATGCTGTCTTCATCCTAACAACCAGTACGTAAAGCCTGCACCTAAAAGATGCATGAAATAACTTTTGGAGAACTCTACTTGATGTTGATGGACTCTAGTGCTTATTATCTGATGCTCTTATAACATTTAAGCTTCACAGACCTTCCACCCCCAATTAGGGAGATATTACCTGTTTCCTCATTTGTAAAACTATCACAGAAAAATTTAAATGCCCTGCCCAAGGCCATGCAGCATATAAGAAAGAGTTGAGAACAGATTCAGGGAGTACCTGACTCTTAAATAGTTGCTAAACTTAATCTACAACTTGTTGCTGTAGAAGAAGTAGTAGGAACAGTTTATTTGCTCACAAGACTTATCTGGCTTCTGTAGATGTTTGGTGTTTTTAAAACACAAATAAAATGGTAAATAGAGGTTTTGGGTTTTTTTTGATAAGGATGAACAGTCTACCAGGAAGTCAAAGTAATAGCCCTCATTAAGTTTGAACTGACCACATTGATGGATGCCTGAAGGTACACATAAGGGCCTTGAAGGGGAATTTCAGAAGTTAACACTTAGTTTTAACAACTGTAGGATTTGTATTTAGTTTAAATAAAACATTTGACTTTCTGAGGATAAATTAAACCTATTTTGCTTTCCAGTGCAATAAGAAAGCAAAGCGCTCTGACATTGTGCTCCTGTATGCCCGTACTTTGAAAGCAGTGGACACCAGTGAACAGGAGCGCATGAAAAGGTATGGAAAAACATCCAGTTTGGATGTACTATACCTGACCCACATATGTATGTCTAAAAAACAACTGATCTGTTTGACTCTTTTACCTAGTTCTTTCATTTATTATATTCCTTGAAACAGTCCCACATAAGACTACACAGACACATCAACTATGGTGTTCCAGCTGCATTATCTGGAAGGAAGGATTCTCCTTTAATTATTGGGATTTATGCCCTTATACTCAGACAAAGAAACTGCAAAAACAAGCTCATGTGGTGTCTTTTTATTTTTTTTAAACAACAAAGCTAGAGAATATGCTGAGTCTAGAGAAAAATAGCCCTAAACTATTAATCCATTTATACACAGAAAAATTAAGTGTATAATGATCAGCAGGGATCCAGGTTTTCTGTTCACCATGGAAAAATGCAGATTTTCATTTTTTAAGGAGAAAAATACAGGAAACAGCAGGTTTCCCCTTGCAGGCTGACACAGTTCCAGCCTGTAAGGGGTGCTTGGGGCTGGGGGGAAGCAAGAATAGGGTGGTCAGGCAGGGGGCACCATGTGCATTTGTGTGTACGCAGGGCAGCCTGGAGAGCAGTTCCCCACTTGGGCCGCAGCAATCGCTATCTCCCACAAGTGGCAGCTGGGGCTTGGGTGCTGCTGAGAGGGTTTGCGGGGGTGGGGGCTGTGCTCTGGGCGAGTGACAGGGCCTATGGGGGGCTATAGCCTTAGCTCTGCTGCCTGCCCCACTGTCAGCCCTGATCCAGGGGCACACCCCCACCCCCCCTGTGCCCTCCCACTGGGGCAGGGCGGGCACGGGATGTAGCTGTGGCTCGTCATAGGGGTAGGGGTAGCTCCCACCACTGTGCATTGCTTGTCCAGAGACAGCTCAGCAGCCTGCCTTGCCCCAGCTGGGTGAGCAGCAAGAGGGCATGGCCTCTGCTCCCAGCTCAGCTGGGTGCAGCCCTGGCCCCGCCC